ATTTTCTTAAAGAAACTAACAAATCCCATCCCAAAAATTAAGTCCACGGCCGAAATATGAAATAACGAAATAACTTTCCTTGATACAATAGTTTTCAAAGAAGAACATCTCACAGAGGAATCCATCTTCATTGGACATCAAATCCCACTATAAGCCGACTAAAACCTTTCAATATGTACACTTTATCTCGTTCCAGCTACGAGGGTAAAAAGAAGTTTCATTAAAGGCGAAGAAATAAGATTGATTAGAAAAAACTCCTCAAAAAAAACATTTGAAGAGTGCCTTGTGAACTCGAAGGACACAAATATCCTAAACCGGATATAGAAAGGTCGTTGTCAGGGGTCAACCTTGACTAGAGACACTGATAGGAGCTAAAACAAAAACAAAAAACATAAAGAGAGACTATTGCCTTTCATTACAACATATAACCCAATGGTACAAGACCTTAAAAAGACGTTGATGCAAACTGGAGTCTACAGGCCTAATAAGAAATCAGCCTCTCAGGGTTGTCATTAAGAGCCGGGGGCCGGGGATTTTCCCCGGCTACTAAGAGAGTGGCCCCCAGCTACTTTTATTGGAAAATAGAAGAAAAATCGAACCACAAGAAATGCCTAGCCATTTAATTCCCTGCCTACTTGTTGTATTTACCCGGCAACTTGAAATCTTAGTGACAACCCTGGCCTCTGCAGTGCTGAAAACAGTTTAAGACCTCCGATCATTATCCTACAAAAGACATGCTTGAGTGCAAAAATGTAACTTGTAACTTGATAATTCAAGGCAACCACAAAAACCACATTGGGAGTTCTTGCAGGTCTGCCTTTAACTTCCTTACAACTATACTGGGTCCTCCTCTTCCCATCAATGCGTGTGCAATTACTTTCCCGTCACTTAATTTGCAGCAACTGCTTTTATTTGCAGCAACTATTTTTATTATTTGCTGCAATTATTCTTTATTTGCAGCAACTTTATTTAATTTGCAGCAACTTTATTTTATTTGCAGCAACTTTATTTTATTTGCAGCAACTTTATTTAATTTGCAGCAACTTTATTTTATTTGCAGCAACTTTTTTATTTGCAGCATGTCCCCTGTGGGCCACCGTAGTTTGAGCCTTACGCTTTTTTCTTGTGGCAAAATAACCTTAGTTTCTTTGGTTTCTCTAAAATGCCTGGACCTGGATAGCCACATGTAGTAGGTTTTATTTTTGGCTGTGAAGATAATGATTTCCTGAATTTTTTTTTTGGATGCTAGAAGCCTAGAACTGTCGGCTAGATTGCAGAATACACGACAGTGCATCTGCAGTGATTGGAAAATGCTGGAAAACCAGTGGGCAAATTTATACAAGCAAATATTCTTATAAAAAAATCACAAGGAATTCTCACAAAGTATTTTTTTGTGTAGAAGAAGGCTTTAAAGTTTGAACTGCTCTTTTATTATTTTCTGTAAACTGCAAACGATCATTGCCAACTCCCTTCTGTGAATTTTGACATGTCACTGTGTCTTTTAATATTGGCATGCGCACGCGAAGAATTAGGCCAATCATGAGGCGCATAACATTAATGTTAACCCACAAGAAACCTACCTATCACAAACACTCACATATGTCTTTGCGACTCTGCAGGATGTTAATAGAATGAACTTTTATGCACTTGTTCCCAAATGGACTATACAAATGGTTTAGATGAGTGTGTGGGCTGGCTGCAACATAGGCTAGGCTAGACAGGTTCTTGAATTTTTGCATGGGTATTAAAGTGGCAAATTTCTGCCAGAAGGTTCTTAATCCACAGTTTCTTATTAGTGGGTGTTTACTGTATTTAAATGTTTAATGAAGAACAAAGCATATAAAATAATAAATGGATATGTTGTAGTTAAGCTTTTATGTCAGGTAATTTTTATTTTTCTTTTGTTTCAACTTCATTAGCATACATTACCATACCATTACGGAACGGCGCCTGTAGATCCGTGTCGCCCGCAAAATCGCGGGTCCCATCACTATTTGCGCGCTCACAAAGGGAGCCGACGCTTGTCGCGTCCTTTGATACAAGACTCAAGTGTTAGGGTATTGTTTCCATGATACAAAGGTAATTTAACTTAAGAAAATCTATAGATCGAAGCTTTCGCGCAACTCTCTGTTTTATAAGGAAATACAAACGCTCAAATTGATTCTTTATTTTGACTTCATAACATATTTTAACGATTTAGGCCAGCAGAATGTAAAGAATTCCAGGAAAACAATTCAGGAAGCCGAACGGTTTTGAACTGCGCTAGAAGTTATTTTTATCAGTATGCAAATCACCTACCCAATCACTTACTTTCCATCGAATTGAAATATCCTGACTTTTTTTTACCACTTTTCGATTTGATTCGTTTCATTTTATATTATTTTGTGCAAGCTGAGCTCTTTCATGCGAATTTACGCTTTGAAAAGGAAAAAAACTTCGAGGAAACGTTGTGTTTACAACCACGGCAATTTGTATTCTATTTCGCTTCACTTACGCTTATATGCAAATTACTGTTCATCCGCCAGATTTCGCTGAAGACAAAAATATCGATTTTGAATTCCCAAATGCTTACCTTTTGGGGCACCCCTTTTATTTTGGCTATCAAGATTTTAAAAGCTAAGCTTCAGACTTTTCATTCCAACGTTTTAATGCGGGAAAGCTAGGAGAAATGCTCCAACTGATTTAAGTCATGCAACACGCTTTAAGACCGCATAACCTGATCTTTCTGTTATCTTTTGTTCTTCTATTGTTTCCAAAACAATAACGATGTTTTACCAATTTCCATCTACAAATAATAGGACACATTTGATTGACAGAAAAATTTGCATTTACTAGCGACGCGTATCTACAGGCGCGATTCCGTAATGCCAAAAACAAAAGAAAAACAAAAAATTACATGAGGTGGAAAATTACAACAGATACATTAAGGTGACTGCATAAACACATAAATAAGCTAATTTTTTAAATAATCAAAGGCTCCTAGGAGCGACCTCATGGATGAATTGAATTAGTGTAGAAAAGACAGTTCAATAATAAAAGAAAAACATATAATGGTGTACGGACTTGCCAAAATACAGCGTGACTCGCAGTATCCGATTGCATGTGTACCTGAATATTCTAGAAACTTTTAATCAGCGCAGCATTTCTACTTACAAAGCAAAGATCACTTTTAAAAGCAATTATTAACGCTTTTTAGTTGTAAAATAATTTGCTTTCTCATGTGACTGTCAAACACTTTCTGAACGACAGTGCACTTTCTTGTAAAATAGCCAAGTTTTACATACATGAGTTTTATTTAAACCATGGTTTTAAAAGTGCGATGCTTTCAAATAAATGTTTCCATATGATGAGTACGTAACGGTTAGTATACGCAGTACGAGCCATAGAAAATACAGAATACAGGCGTTTATGGCTAAATTGAACTGCTTTAGAACGCGCTTTTGATAAACACGAGCTAAAAATTATTATATACATGTAAAACAGATTAAGCTCAAAGGAGTACGTGCTCTGACCTAGCCAAATAATTTAAACGCAGTCGAAGTATCCGATTGCCTTTCGCCAGAGACTTGTTTATACCAGTGCAGCATTTCTCGTAGAAATTACATTAATAGCACTGCTAAATGGAATCACCGACAAACAAAAGCCTACTTTAAGGCAAAGATCACCTAAGAATTCAAGCAAAATAGCGTAACGCTTGTTGGTTCTAAAACCTGTGCTTCTAGTTGACACAACATTAATTCATTCCCTGTTTGCATACGAAGACAAATGGTCGAACGGATTCGTCCAAATAACTGACTAAACCTCAATAGATACTCCTCAATGTCGCTTTAACAATTCGAGGACAGTTTTTTTGCAGTGATTATAAGGCGCTTTGGCTTATTCGCTTTTCGCTGAACAAAATCCCATCGTCAGGCTGCAATAGCTCTTTCACACTCTTGTTGATCGCATCTTCTCCATATCAAGTACAATATCGGGAACAAATGTGCACAATTCGTCCAAATATACAACAATGATCCACGCTCAATTATTTCAATGTCCTTTTAACAATTCTAAGTCCATTTCTTGTGGATGATATTATCAGTGTTCTTTAAAATATTGTTATTTATACAAAACCCATCTCTATAATTGATGTGTCGGGAAAAAAAATTCGCCTTACTAGTACCCTCTAGAATATTCCAAACATATACGTAAAAGGCACTTGGAAAAAAGTAATACTAAGCAAGGGAGGTAGGAGTAACGTGTTTAATCTGACTTTAATGAATAAATTAATGAGAATCGAGTGAGTGAGTGAGTGAGTGAGTGAGTGAGTGAGTGAGTGATCGAGTGCCATTCGAGTGCCTCCAAAAGCCCATGGCATGACTACGTCATCCATGAGCTAAAAAGGGTTTAATATAAATAATTGTTAAATTGTACATAGTTAAAACCCTATCACTCCCAGAGTCGATTATGGAACCACAACATTTAGTTCTTACTCTTGAGCTCCTGGACGAAACCCCTTTATCAGTACTCTCACATGGTACTATTTGTTTTCAGTATTAGACGAAATGAAATTTCGACTTCTTCGTTAACAACGTTTTGATTTTGTCAGTGCACTTTTGGAAGTGAAGAGTAAAAACATCAATAACTTTACATACCGCTCTGTCAACTCCCGCTGTATTGCTGGCACGAAGGCAGTAATCATTATGCCTCTCACGATACCAAAGTTGAAGCTCTCCTGCCTCATTATTATCCTCACTCCCCCATGACACGGTTCCACGTGCCACACAAATCTGTGTAAAGCCCAACCGACTAAGCCGACTGAACCAGTCGGCCATTTTGTTTATTGGAAGAGCACCTGGTAATAAATCCGTGTTCTCCTACACTAATATAAAAAATCCGCTTAAAATATCTTCATGTAACATGTAACTATGTGTCACTCAACATAACTATGCATCACTACCCATCACCACCTATCACTGTCCATCACCACCTATCACTACACATCACTACCCATCACAACCCATCACTACCCATCACAACCCATCACTACACATCACTACCCATCATTACACATCACTATCCATCACTACACATCACTATCCATCATTACACATCACTATCCATCACTATCCATCACTGTCCATCACTACCCATCACTATCCATCACTACACATCACCACCCATCAGTACACATCACTATCCATCACTACACATCACTATCCATCATTACACATCACTATCCATCACTATCCATCACTGTCCATCACTACCCATCACTATCCATCACTACACATCACCACCCATCAGTACACATCACTGTCCATCACTACACATCACTATCCATCACTACCCATCACTATCCATCATTACACATCACTATCCATAACTACCCATCACTACACATCACTACCCATCACTATCCATCAATACACATCACTGTCCATCATTACACATCACTGTCCATCACTGTCCATCACTACACATCACTATCCATCACTACACATCACTATCCATCAATACACATCACTGTCCATCACTATCCATCACTGTCCATCACTACCCATCACTATCCATCACTACACATCACTATCCATCACTACACATCACTGTCCATCACTACACATCACTATCCATCACTACCCATCACTACACATCACTACCCATCACTATCCATCACTACACATCACTGTCCATCATTACACATCACTGTCCATCACTGTCCATCACTACACATCACTATCCATCATTACACATCACAATCCATCACTAGACATTACTGTCCATCACTACACATCACTATCCATCACTATCCATCACTACAGATCACTGTCCATTACTACACATCACTATCCATCATTACACATAACTATCCATCATTACACATCACTGTCCATCACTGCACGTTACTATCCATCACTACACATCACTGTCCATCACTACACATAACTATCCATCACTTCACATTACTGTCCATTACTACACATCACTATCCATCACTGCACATCACTGTCCATTACTACACATCACTGTCCATCACTACACATCACTATCCATCACTACACATCACTGTCCATCACTACACATCACTATCCATCATTACACATCATTGTCCATCACTGTCCATCACTACACGTTACTATCCATCACTACACATCACTGTCCATCACTACACATCACTATCCATCACTTCACATTACTGTCCATTACTACACATCACTATCCATCACTGCACATCACTGTCCATTACTACACATCACTGTCCATCACTACACATTACTATCCATCACTACACATCACTGTCCATCACTACACATCACTATACATCACCATCCATCACGACACATCACTGTCCATTACTAGACATCACTGTCCATCACTACACATCACTCTCCATCACTACACATCAGTCCATCACTACACATCACTATACATCACTATACATCACCATCCATCACTACACATCACTGTCCATTACTACACATCACTCTCCATCACTACACATCACTATCCATCACTTCACATTACTGTCCATTAATACACATCACTATACATCACTTTCCATCACTATACATCACCATCTATCACTACACGTCACTGTCCATCACTACACATCACTATCCATCACTTCACATTACTGTCCATTACTACACATCACTATCCATCACTGCACATCACTGTCCATTACTACACATCACTGTCCATCATTACACATCACTATCCATCACTACACGTCACTGTCCATCACTACACATCACTATACATCACTGTCCATCACTATACATCATCATCCATCACTACACATCACTGTCCATTACTACACATCACTGTCCATCACTACACATCACTATCCATCACTTCACATTACTGTCCATTAATACACATCACTATACATCACTGTCCATCACTATACATCACCATCCATCACTACACATCACTGTCCATTACTACACATCACTGTCCATCACTACACATCACTATCCATCACTTCACATTACTGTTCATTACTACACATCACTATCCATCACTGCACATCACTGTCCATTACTACACATCACTGTCCATCACTGCACATCACTATCCATCACTACACATCACTGTCCATCACTAAACATCACTATACATCACTGTCCATCACTATACATCACCATCCATCACTACACATCACTGTCCATTACTACACATCACTGTCCATCACTACACATCACTATCCATCACTTCACATTACTGTCCATTACTACACATCACTATCCATCACTGCACATCACTGTCCATTACTACACATCACTGTCCATCACTACAAATCACTATCCATCACTACACATCACTGTCCATCACTACACATCACTATCCATCATTACACATCATTGTCCATCACTGTCCATCACTACACGTTACTATCCATCACTACACATCATTGTCCATCACTACACATCACTATCAATCACTTCACATTACTGTCCATTACTACACATCACTATCCATCACTGCACATCACTGTCCATTACTACACATCACTGTCCATCACTACACATCACTATCCATCACTACACATCACTGTCCATCACTACACATCACTATACATCACTGTCCATCACTATACATCACCATCCATCACGACACATCACTGTCCATTACTAGACATCACTGTCCATCACTACACATCACTCTCCATCACTACACATCAGTCCATCACTACACATCACTATACATCACTATACATCACCATCCATCACTACACATCACTGTCCATTACTACACATCACTCTCCATCACTACACATCACTATCCATCACTTCACATTACTGTCCATTAATACACATCACTATACATCACTTTCCATCACTATACATCACCATCTATCACTACACGTCACTGTCCATCACTACACATCACTATCCATCACTTCACATTACTGTCCATTACTACACATCACTATCCATCACTGCACATCACTGTCCATTACTACACATCACTGTCCATCACTACACATCACTATCCATCACTACACATCACTGTCCATCACTACACATCACTATACATCACTGTCCGTCACTATACATCATCATCCATCACTACACATCACTGTCCATTACTACACATCACTGTCCATCACTACACATCACTATCCATCACTTCACATTACTGTCCATTACTACACATCACTATCCATCACTGCACATCACTGTCCATTACTACACATCACTGTCCATCACGGCACATCACTATCCATCACTACACATCACTGTCCATCACTACACATCACTATACATCACTGTCCATCACTATACATCACCATCCATCACTACACATCACTGTCCATTAGTACACATCACTGTCCATCACTACACATCACTATCCATCACTTCACATTACTGTCCATTACTACACATCACTATCCATCACTGCACATCACTGTCCATTACTACACATCACTGTCCATCACTACACATCACTATCCATCATTACACATCATTGTCCATCACTGTCCATCACTACACGTTACTATCCATCACTACACATCATTGTCCATCACTACACATCACTATCAATCACTTCACATTACTGTCCATTACTACACATCACTATCCATCACTGCACATCACTGTCCATTACTACACATCACTGTCCATCACTACACATCACTATCCATCACTACACATCACTGTCCATCACTACACATCACTATACATCACTGTCCATCACTATACATCACCATCCATCACGACACATCACTGTCCATTACTAGACATCACTGTCCATCACTACACATCACTCTCCATCACTACACATCAGTCCATCACTACACATCACTATACATCACTATACATCACCATCCATCACTACACATCACTGTCCATTACTACACATCACTCTCCATCACTACACATCACTATCCATCACTTCACATTACTGTCCATTAATACACATCACTATACATCACTTTCCATCACTATACATCACCATCTATCACTACACGTCACTGTCCATCACTACACATCACTATCCATCACTTCACATTACTGTCCATTACTACACATCACTATCCATCACTGCACATCACTGTCCATTACTACACATCACTGTCCATCACTACACATCACTATCCATCACTACACGTCACTGTCCATCACTACACATCACTATACATCACTGTCCGTCACTATACATCATCATCCATCACTACACATCACTGTCCATTACTACACATCACTGTCCATCACTACACATCACTATCCATCACTTCACATTACTGTCCATTAATACACATCACTATCCATCACTGCACATCACTGTCCATTACTACACATCACTGTCCATCACGGCACATCACTATCCATCACTACACATCACTGTCCATCACTACACATCACTATACATCACTGTCCATCACTATACATCACCATCCATCACTACACATCACTGTCCATTAGTACACATCACTGTCCATCACTACACATCACTATCCATCACTTCACATTACTGTCCATTACTACACATCACTATCCATCACTACACATCACTGTCATTACTACACATCACTGTCCATCACTACACATCACTATCCATCACTACACATCACTGTCCATCACTACACATCACTATACATCACTGTCCATCACTATACATCACCATCCATCACTACACATCACTGTCCATTACTACACATCACTGTCCATCACTACACATCACTATCCATCACTTTACATTACTGTCCATTAATACACATCACTATACATCACTGTCCATCACTATACATCACCATCTATCACTACACATAACTGTCCATTACCACACATCACTGTCCATCACTACACATCACTATCCATCATTACACATCACTATCCATCATTACACATCACTGTCCATCACTACACGTTACTATCCATCACTACACATCACTGTCCATCTCTACACATCACTATCCATCACTTCACATTACTGTCCATTACTACACATCACTATCCATCACTGCACATCACTGTCCATTACTACACATCACTGTCCATCAGTACACATCACTATCCATCACTACGCATTACTATCCATCACTACACATCACTGTCCATCGCTACACATCACTGTCCATCACTATCCCTCACTATTCAGCACTACACATCACTATCCATCACTGCACATCACTAACCATCACTGCGCATCACTGTCCATCACTACCCATCACTACCCATCACTATACATCAGTACCCATCACTGTAATTCACTGCAAAAACTTGCCGGAGGTGAAAGGCCGCACATCTTCACCGGCGTGAAACCTTTGAAAACCTTTTACATATTGCTCCATTGAGGAGAACTCTGATCTTTCAGGTATCTTACAGTTTAAAATTTGAACCAAGATATAGCTTATATATAGCGGACCAAGATACAGCTCGGTACAGTTTATGTTCAGCAAGGGAAAGTTGTGTAAGTTGAGCAGAACGTTTAAAATGCAGATACCCTAAGATAACAGCAGCTATGGAATAATTATTATATTTTTGAGCAGGCAAATCTCATAAACGGCCCACAAACTCAACAGGAGTACGCGCGAACTGAACAAATTGTCTGTTGTACATTTTAAACGTTCTGCTCAACTTACACAATTTTCCCTCGCTGAACTTAAACTGTACCGAGCTGTATCTTGGTCCGCTATATATAAGCTATATCATGGTTCAAATTTTAAACTGTAAGATCCCTGAAAGAGGTCTCCGGCAATGGAGCAATATGTAAAAGGTTTTCAAAGGTTTCATGCCGGTGAAGATGTGCGGCCTGTCACCTCTTGCAAGTTTTTGCTCGCAATAATCCCCTTTTTTTTTCAAGAAAGAATAAGCCATTCTCAGATTTGTTATCCAGAGTGACCATGCCACTTTTCCTTTAAAGTGCCCTTTGTATTTTTGCTTCAATATTAAGCAATGTTTCTGTAACTAGTCACTAAACAATAAAGACAAAAGTGTTTACGAAAAGAAGAAAATGTTAAAAAGTGCTTCCAAATAAACATGCTCTTTTTGCTTAAAAAACGACCACTGTAGTTTTAAGCTGTAATAATATTACAGGACTGAGGTCTCTGGCAGTTTCAACATGCTGTAACTGCATTACATAACTTGACTGATGATACCGTATTGGCTTTCCCTATGGTTGAAGGATTTAGTCCTTTACGTGAGGAAAAAAAATAAACAAAAATAGCAACAGCAAAAATCATGTATTTATGTGCCTTATACTTTGAAATAAGAAGTTTTTTGATTATTTTTCATTGTGATATTGGGTTATTAGGGGTATGCCAAAACCGAGGTTCGGTTCGCGCCGCATAGGGAGCTTTAACATCGACGACGGCAACGGCAGCCAAAACGCCAGTTTTAAAATGAATTCCCGTTTTTTCAATCTTTGTCGCGTTTATTCTAATTTGCTGAAAATGGCAAGTGTAGGCGAATTTCCCTGGAGTTGATTTCTTGAGGACCACACTCAAGTTTAGAGAGAGAAAAAGAGATTCGTCGTCGCTTGTTTACGTCCTCCATAAAACTTGTAATTAGGCATTTTCACGTCATAGTCGTGCAAGGACGGTAAAGAAATGTAAAAAAAAGCGTGATGCACGTGCAAAGTTGTTGTTTTGCGTAATAAACCTATTGCTTTTTTGACGTCCTGGTTGCCGTCGTAGTCGTCGTTGCTAAAGCTCACAGCAACGAGGAAGCAATACGGGTTTAATTTTATTACGCAAGACATCAACTTTGCACGTACGTCACTCATTTATATACATTTCTTTACCGTCCTTGCACGACTACACCGTGAAGATGGCGACGGCAACGCAAAGGTGACCTTTAAAATGAATTAGCACTTTTTCAGACTTTGTCGCTATTATCACAACTCGCTGAAAATGTCTACTGTAGGTTAATTTCCCTAGAGTTCATTTCTTGGCGACCGCACTCAAGTGTAGAAAGAGAAAGAAATTTCGTCGTAGCTTATCAACGTCCCCCATAACGTGAAATTAGGCATGAAAAGAGCTTATACAGTCAATAAGAACGGCGTACAGCTTTTTATCACAGGTGGAAGGATAACCGATCTAAGAAAGCGTAAATGCCTTTGAGCAATCAAAGCCGTTAATCGTTTGCATTCACATGGCTTTCATTTATAGCAGCGCCTTCAACTTGTACTTCAGAAACTGGCAAGACGAAGAAAAACTATAACAAGTTTGGGTAGGTTCTCGGCTGATTAGTTTACTCCTCATAAAAGTTTGTGCGGCATCAAAACATGTTCTTAACTCGCTGCTCTAGTGATTTATTTAAACAATAAACTAGTTTTCAATGTACATGAAAGGAACGGTCATCTACCAATTTTTAGCCTTCCTCAAGCTATGAAAAGAATAGTGATGTTGTAGTGATGGACAGTGATGTTTAGTGATGCTTAGTGATGTGTAGTGATGGAGAGTGATGGATAGTGATGGACAGTGATGTGAAGTGATGGGTAGTGCTGTATGGTGATGGACAGTGATGTTTAGTAATGGACAGTGATGTGTAGTGATGGATAGTGATGGATAGTGATGGGTAGTGATGGACAGTGATGTGTAGTGATGGATAGTGATGGGTAGTGATGTGTAGTGATGTGTAGTGATGGGTAGTGATGGATAGTGATGGATAGTAATGTGTAGTGATGTGGAGTGATGTGTAGTGATAAACAGTGATGTGTAGTGATGGATAGTGATGGGTAGTGATGGATAGTGATGGATAGTGATAGACAGTGATGTGTAGTGATAGGTAGTGATGGATAGTGATGGATAGTGATGTGTAGTGATGGACAGTGATGTGTAGTGATGGATAGTGATGGGTAGTGATGGACAGTGATGTGTAGTGATGGATAGTGATGGGTAGTGATGTGTAGTGATGTGTAGTAATGGGTAGTGATGGATAGTGATGGACAGTGATGTGTAGTGATGGATAGTGATGTGTAGTGATGGACAGTGATGTGTAGTGATGGACAGTGATGTGTAGTGATGGATAGTGATGGATAGTGATGTGTAGTGATGGGTGGTGATGGACAGTGATGTGTAGTGATGGATAATGATGTGTAGTGATGGATAGTGATGTGTAGTTGTGGACAGTGATGTGTACTGACAGATAGTGATGTTTAGTGATGGACAGTGATGTGTAGTGATGGATAGTGATGGGTAGTGATGGATAGTGATGGATAGTGCTGGATAGTGATGTGTAGTGATGTGTATTGATGGACAGTGATGTGTAGTGATGGACAGTGATGTGTAGTGATGAATAGTGATGGATAGTGATGGACAGTGATGTGTAGTGATGGGTAGTGATGGATAGTGATGTGTAGTGATGTGTAGTGATGTGTAGTGATGTGTAGTGATGTGTAGTTATGGACAGTGATGTGTAGTGATGGATAATGACTTGTAGTAATGGACAGTGATGGATAGTGATGGGTAGTGATGGACAGTGATGGGTAGTGATGTGTAGTGATGGGTAGTGATGGATAGTGATGTGTAGTGATGTGTAGTTATGGACAGTGATGTGTAGTGATGGATAATGACTTGTAGTAATGGACAGTGATGTGTAGTGATGGACAGTGATGTGTAGTGATGGATAGTGATGAGTAGTGATGGACAGTGATGGGTAGTGATGTGTAGTGATGGGTAGTGATGGATAGTGATGTGTAGTGATGTTTAGTTATGGACAGTGATGTGTAGTGATGGATAGTGATGGACAGTGATGTGGTAGTGATGGATAGTAATGGGTAGTGATGTGTAGTGATGTTTATTGATGGGTAGTGATGGGTAGTGATGGACAGTGATGTGTAGTGATGGATAGTGATGGGTAGTGATGTGTAGTGATGTGTAGTAATGGGTAGTGATGGATAGTGATGGACAGTGATGTGTAGTGATGGATAGTGATGTGTAGTGATGGACACTAATGTGTAGTGATGGATAGTGATGGATAGTGATGTGTAGTGATGGCTGGTGATGGACAGTGATGTGTAGTGATGGATAATGATGTGTAGTGATGGATAGTGATGTGTAGTTGTGGACAGTGATGTGTACTGACAGATAGTGATGTTTAGTGATGGACAGTGATGTGTAGTGATGGATAGTGATGCGTAGTGATGGATAGTGATGGGTAGTGATGGATAGTGATGGATAGTGCTGGATAGTGATGTGTAGTGATGTGTATAGATGGACAGTGATGTGTAGTGATGGACAGTGATGTGTAGTGATGAATAGTGATGGATAGTGATGGACAGTGATGTGTAGTGATGGGTAGTGATGGATAGTGATGTGTAGTGATGTGTAGTTATGGACAGTGATGTGTAGTGATGGATAATGACTTGTAGTAATGGACAGTGATGGATAGTGATGGACAGTGATGGGTAGTGATGTGTAGTGATGGGTAGTGATGGATAGTGATGTGTAGTGATGTGTAGTTATGGACAGTGATGTGTAGTGATGGATAATGACTTGTAGTAATGGACAGTGATGTGTAGTGATGGACAGTGATGTGTAGTGATGGATAGTGATGGGTAGTGATGGACAGTGATGGGTAGTGATGTGTAGTGATGGGTGGTGATGGACGGTGATGTGTAGTGATGGATAATGATGTGTAGTGATGGATAGTGATGTGTAGTTGTGGACAGTGATGTGTACTGACAGATAGTGATGTTTAGTGATGGACAGTGATGTGTAGTGAT